AGGTCCTGGGTTGGCATCCCAGTGAGTGCGTACTGCCAACGATTCCAAAAACTAGGATGAAACAGCAGCTGTCCAGTACTTCCTGGTTTTCAACGGTTCTCTAACTGATATCAGTCCGTGATCAACTCGTAAAATCCATTATTTGCATGAATTATCTACTGGTCATTTAACCTGTGAATGTCACCAATCTGCAAACAGTACAAACACCTCCAATCCTTTTTCACTACAAAAAATCAGTCATCCCTTGTATATTCCTCTGAAACACTCTAGGCAAGTCCATTATCATGTCGATGTACGACGGTTTATGTAAGTTGAGAGATTTTTATCTTACGGCATAATGGTATGCCAGAGATTTCAGAAAGCGATTGATTGGCAGAATAAAACAGATTAGGCATGTGAAACGATATTCGTATTCATATTATTCCACTGCAGCTGTAAACAGTTGGGATACGTCCACTGATGAAGCAGAATTCGATGCAACGAATACACGAATAAGATGTACAAATGCGAATGTTTCCTTCAATTAGACATGATTGTTGACGGTTATTTTTTGACAGAGGGTGAAAGTTGTAGTCACGCTGTGATTATTCAGTAAAGTGTGTGGTATCTGTTCAGTGTGAACTAAACATGTAGTATAGGATTTTTCACGCAGTTGATAATGATGCTGACAGTACGGCTAACTTGTGACTTTGCTCAGATTATCCAGTCCATACTTTAATATCCAAAACAATATTAAGATTCTGTGAAGATGAACAGAATCCGGCCAACATAAGTGTATTTATTCACTGAGTTAAAGTGTACTGTTTGACTAGTACATCACTTTTCAAACTGGCAACTATCGCAAATCTAATGAACATCTTTTGCTTGGACATACAGCTACATATTTTCAGAGAGTTCAGAGAGTTGATGCATAGAGTAAGAAATATAAAATAGTTATATTTTTAAAATGTCAGTTTAACTTATATTCCTTCGTATAATTCGAAGATAAAGATAAGTCTGAACTTATCAAACAAACAGAGGTGTTCAAAATGACGCCAGCCAGTATTCCACAAAGATTCTAAAAATAAATGTTGGATCAGAAGACATTCGAATTTTTAAAGAGATATGCATTCAGTTATTAAATATACATAAGGTCAAAATTATTGATTGGTGAAATTCAAAATTGCTTAGTAAGTCCTTAGAACAGGAGGTAGACTGCCCCAACCCAAATGAAAACATCTTCATGGTAATTCTTCGATGGTGGTGTGGATTAGTAGGAAGGTGTGTAGCACTGCTAAGAATATGAATCTTAAGTTACTGGTTGATTTCATTAGCTTCCTCATTATGATACATCTAGGGTATAAACGTTATGTTGAAGAATCACTTTAAATTAGGATTCGAACGTACGAACGAACGACTTAAGCGGTATTAGTATTCAATAACATTATATTGAGCTATTTACCCACAGTTAGATGAAATCTATTCTAGAGTATCCATTTCACACGAAACTGTGCCTGATTGAATGTCAACTGATTTGATGTCATCTGCTCGTTGTCAAAATCCATGAAAGAGGATTATTGCTTCATTTACATTCGAAAGATAAAATAACGCTACTGCATTTTGTCTGGATGTAATCTTTTTTCCTATGCACTGTTTGGATAGTAGAATTTACAGATATCGTGGACAAGTGTTGAATATTCTTTTTATCCTTTCTGACACAATTAGTTGATTTTGCTGAATAATTCTCAACCTCTTGGGAATACAATAAAATTAAGTCGACCAATGCAACTAAAACTAAAAATTTCCTTATGTTAAATTAAAACAAGCATTGAAGCCATTTAATGCAGAATTTGTTTTTTTCGTTTACTCATTATCTCCATTCATCATAGTCAGTTATAAAAAGTGGTATGTAATCCTTGTCTTTACATTTCGAGTTTACAACTCGCTCTCTTCAGTGGAAAAACTATCTCTCTCTAATTTCCTGAGTGTTCTAAGTATAACGCGATGCAAGGTCACTTGACATTAGTCAATTTTAGTCTTTATTTGAGTGTGATTAGCATACCGGAATGAAAACAAATCGCACGCGATGATGGAGTTAATGACGAAAATTTCATAAATTTGACTTAGTCCCCTACTTAACTGACTAAATTGCATTGAAGAGTACAGAAATAGAGGGAAGACATTGGAGGGTTTTAGGTTAGATTGCACGCAGATAATCCAGTTTTAATCGAGATTATGCAACACGAAGTGATGATGCCAAGCTAAAACCACACTAATGCTCAACCTCACACAGTGAGTCAATAAATAGTTTCCTGCATTGGATTTGAAGAGTATGCAATGTTATTGTCTCATTTTGTTTCCTATTTCTATGTGTGTTAAAGCTGTTCTGAAAATCTTCTATAACGTTAAATTAATTTATTACCATGATCAGGCCTTTAGCTTACCGTGACATCACTTCATTCCTGACTCATTCACAAACGCATGCCACTGTTTCTTCGACAGAAACCACGGACTTATGGGCAAAACCAACAAGGACGGAAACACTTGCAGGGAGAAAAAGTTGACATAACCCGTGGAAAATATTTATTTGATAATTGTTTTATTTACTTATCAGTTTATCCTCAAAAAGAGGTAGGTGAACTATCCATTCTGACACACTTGAATCAGTGTCTGTAAAAAACTGGATTTACAGTAAAAAAATTGCACGATATGGTTCAACAGAGGCGTTTGATATCAACGTCGTTTCTAAAAGCTAGAGAAAACCAGAGCTAACCGAAACAAAAATAGGAATAAATATAACAACTTGAATGCACACATTGCCAGTTATATTTTCTTTATATTGGTGAATGGACATCAATTCATAATTTGCATCTTTGATTATTATGATTGCAGAACTGATATAGTTCTAACTTCGATATGAAGCCTTGTAGACTTCAGCTTTGCTTCTTAAGCATATTCTTTGTGTTCTGAAACGAAATAGCATCAGAAGTCAGACATTAGAGTGCACTCGAAATTTGATAAGAAATCAAAGCAGTGTTATTGACTTACAATAACAATTGCAGTGTTCCAAAAGCCTCCAGGTAATACAGACAAAGTTTCCTGGAATATGGTAGCTTAAAGTACATTCAGACAATGACTGAATTAATTACGACTAGTAGTCATGTTAAAATGTTAATTCTAGTTATTATGGAAATTATTGTTTGAATACAAAAGATCACTTGACACTGCAGTTGACTGACATTACTCTGCCACAAAAAGACAAAACCACTCCAGTTATTGGAAATGTCATCAATAAGAAAAGCAGGACTGTGAGCAATGCTGGTTTAAATTTTTTGATAAAGATGCATAAGATCAGTGTTAATGATTCTTACAGAACGACAAAGCCAAAGGAAATTTAACATGCAATCGAGTTTTCATTTTGCAATAAATAAAAAAATATTGGCAGACGACAGTGCAATCTGTTGGCGAAACAAAGTGGCCACTTTCAACAATTGAGAATGGAAATATAATTTCTTAGATCGTTGATGTTGCGAGATTCCTGGAACAATTCGAGACACAAGTCAGATTGAATCATTCTAAATTATTTAAAATAATCCCAGTGTGTTGAAGAAAAATTGAAAAAACAAGATTTTATTGAACGTTTTGTTGTGTAAGCCACAGCTTCTTCAGCAGAATTTTTCAGATTTTATTAACATTAAAAATATATGGTCAAAAACTATATAAATTAATTCGGTGACTTGTCGGTATACATTTGTAACAAAAGGAATCCACAAACAGTAACCATATACTTTTAATGACTAGTGTCAAATTGTCGTATATGCTTAGTTCTATGCATGACTGTGTGTATGTCGTTTGTTACGTTGAAAAAGCGTCAAGATATGGTGGTCATAATACAGGATTGAAGTTGTTTTTCCTCATTATCTGTCTTACTTTGTTAGAGTCTGCCACATAGGTCATAAGTTCATCCCTTCTATCCCATATACTGCACTTGATATGCTTGAAATATACAGGACTTCAGAGGTCGCCCTTGCTTTATGTGAATGAAAACCATTTCCAAGAATTTCGACATTGTCGAAATCAATCTTAATTTTGCTGTCTATAGAATGCATTGCTACAGCAGATCTTTTTTCTAGTCTTTATTATTCTACTTCATTTCTAGTTGGACGTTTCGTGCACAGTCGATGTTCATTCACTGTGACTTTTACTTGTCCATCGCACTCACCTATATAGCATGGTTCACTTTCTGAACACTTTTTCCAGTAGACACAATTACTTTGTGAAATTTTGGGAACCATATCTTTGACATTCACCAAAGCGCCATCCATATAAGCGCAACAATCAACTTCTTTCAATTTTCCCCCGCTGACAAAGATAAGCACGTGCTGTCGTTTATTCTTCTATGTCAACCTCTTCTGACAATTTGATATTTGAGTGTAAATCTTCTAGTTTATGTTGCATTGGACATCAGTCAATTACAGAGTCCAAACCTTCTGAACTCTTCTTATCATTTGAAAGTGTTCCATTCATTCCATTTCAGTACACCGCATTTCACTGTATAAAACATGAGTCTACTTTAAACTTTGAATCTGTTCTTGACGATTTCTGAGCATTCATGTTTTTCTTTTCCGAACCTTCTGTCATAAAGACCATCTTTCCAGTTTACAAAATATCAAAACAACTGTAATTTATGTGTGGGTTTGATGAACATTTTATTTGGACTATAATCACACGAATATTATTGTATACCATTTGATAAAAAGTGTCGAGTGTTTTACGATATATTATATAAATGTTTTATACGGTCAATAAAAATAGTTAACTTGAAAATAAGCAGTGTCGGACCATAACAATTAGAATCACAACAAGTGCAACCACTTTAACATTTAAAAAAACCAATTGTATGATATACTCTATCAGAAATGATTGTTTTAGACAAATTTGAACAATACAAATGTTGCAGTCCTCTGTCGCGATCGAAGTGCATGTTTTTCAGTCAACAATATAATATATATATATATAGTATGTATAATATTAAAGTCTATTTGCACGTTCATTGTTATCAGAAGTTTGAAAACGAGACAGGTAAGGGGTGATCGATAGTAACATTACAGTTTTAATCATGCATTTCAAATTTGCTTATGTATACACTGTAAATATGCATTCCTGCCGATGTCATTTGCGTTTCTTACTTATTTCTGTATATATGTAGTTTGAAGATGAGGAGGGAACATAACGGATGTACCGTTGTGAAAACAAAAACATTTCTACCGATATCTACAAACGATTTCTCATTAAGAAATACTTCAAAGCAAAATGAATACAGCAAAATGCATATTCAAACGATCTTGATAAAGAGTTTGTTGAAAGGTCGGACAGGTCCACGGGCTATTTAATGTCAACTGAGCGCACTTTTCTTCTGAATTGATTATCAATAAATTTGAAGTACTGTAAAGCGACTGCTGCAAAATGGGTTCTCTTTCGTGGTCAGTCATATGACATGCTACTATTAGCCTTATAATTGCATTTCCAGCAATTACATGAAAAATTTGATTTCATAGTGTAACACCTGTATGCACATGTGTCACATTCAATTCTCCATTAATTAACAGAGTATTATTCATTCGCCATGGAGATAACGTATTTTCTTCAACATTCTGTAGATAACAAAATGTCAAGTAAAATTGCGAGATCGGACATTTTGAAAACGTCAAGTTTCGGTCTACGACCAGGCGGCTTCCTGCACTTCTTCATCTGGGTAAGAAAGCAATAATTCCTTGTGAAATCGTTTTACATAGATGATGATTGATACATTCCTAATGCTTTTAATGACGGTGGGAATGCTTGTCATGGTTAACAAAATGTAAGACTGAAATCCCTACTATGGTGAGACAATGTTTTCGTTTCATAGAAATGGCCTATGTAACTGGATAACGGAGAATAAATGGATCTCAATTCTTTTGATGTAAGTCAATTATACGATGCGTACACCAAATATTTATGTGCGGTTCTTTTACATACACCCAACTTTTTGTCGAATGTAGGATTAATTAACCATCAGGAGACATCAAATTCTATGAAACCGTAGATGACTGGATATATCTACTTGATATATCTACTTGACAACACACACGCACACACTGTTCTAAAATCTACTTTCTAACTGTAATAATTGATAAAAACAGTTGAAAAGGAATTCTCTATTTTTCTGCGTGACACTATATCTTCACTAGATATGATACACTACGCACTACATTGAAGCATAATCCAAGTAAAGCATTTATGAAGTAAATATCATTCAAGGCATTGAATACAGAAAGAACAACAATTTTTGCAGAATAACACGTTACCGTTATGTATTTCGTTATCTTCTCATCATCTACTTACTGCATAAATAAATTATGAAGTTTAAGTGCAGAAAAGTGATAATATACTTGCAACGTTTACGAGATATCAGTTGACAGGAAGTTTCGGAATTGGTTAACAGTGCTCAGTAAATCACGCTTATATAGCTTTAACATAGGAAGTTTAAACTGAAACAAAGTAAATGTGTGCATACAATGGTGAAAGAGTAACGTAATAAAGGCGAGAGATGCGTAAGATGATGGTTGACTAATAAATTTGGTGACCATAAACTGAGTTTAACTTGGTTCAGAAAAACAAGAGACATGCGCAATTACACTGTGGAAACAAAACATTTATATGATCAAACTAAAGACAGAATATAGACCTCCAGTCACCAGAGCAAGGAAAGACTGGTAACTGCTTGTACCTGAACACACAGTTAACGTTTCAGGTGCCTGGTTGAGATTGCTCCAGCAAACTTGAGGAGAATTGGGCATTTCTGTCGACAGATAATTTAAAAGGGTTTTGTGATTTCTAGCTCATCATCGCTATCAAGGAGATGGCTGCTAATAGCATTATTGCAATCATTTTTTCCCTGGAGTCATTGGTGTCTCCGTATACGTTCAGAAAATCGGAGGTATGCCCTTCTTTCTGCTCTCATAATGTAAATGTTCGTGCGGATATACGCTGATTTGTATGCATAGTTGGGGTTAACGTGATAAGAGTATATGTCGACTTTTGATTGCCCCAAGCGGAATGTTGTCTAATAGACAGGATACAGCTTGGTTCCATGATATGCTCTGGTCAGTGATAATCTCAGTCTTCTGTTGACTATTGCCGCAATATTTTCACCCTTAAAATCAAGTTGAGTGAAGAAAGGCTTTTCTTCACTGTAACTTGTTTGAGATTTGACCCTTCACATATTCCATACTTGTTAATGAATCCTGAAGAGTAACCGTAGTTTTTCAACATATTTTCAAGAATCATAAATTCTTACTCTTATTCTGCTGTACGGCATATTCTCTCAGCCCTGTAGTATAAAATATATATACCATAGTGTATAGTATATATCTATACTATACAAAAAAATATATATAGTATAAATACATTGTTTGCTAAAGCATAGACTCTTTATTATTGTGTTGTGCGCGTTTGAAGCTATCTAGAGAAAAACTATTAAAACGTAGGTATTGTCTTTTCCACGGAGGCTTTCCATAAAGTGCCCTCTGGAGACTGCTATCTTTTAGGCGTTGCATGGCAATTTCAAGGAAATGGAACTGCCCATCATTTTCATGTTACACTGTACGTGAGTCCCACTCTGTAGGAAGCAGGACTTTCTTTGTTGCACACTAATAATGTGTCATCATTGTATCGACAATTAGTTGTTGTTTCATCAATGACATGCTTCAGCGTTGTGTTTTCAAGGTTGCACATTAAGATATCTGCTAATAAAGGGCTAACGCGATTGCCTACAGCTACAGCAGCTATCTGGCAGCTACAACTGTTGCTTAACTGGAATAGCACTTATATGATTCACGTAAGTAGTAAGTGTTTGAATTGCAACTCTGAGAGTAAGAGAAGATCGAACTTTTGCACAATTAATGCTACTGAATGCAATTCATGAATTCCATGCGGCATACTGTATCAGACTATTGGTGAAATCATTAAAAGATTGTCTTCGGTTCTCAATTCTACTGATTAAGTATGAGTTTTGTAACTAATCGAGGATTTATGAGAGAGGGTGGTAATTAGCAAGTACCTAGTGACCTGATGAGATGGCGAAGAAAGCGGTCAGAATGGAAGTATTCATCGTGAAACTTCATTCGAGTTACTTCCCTGGATATCCTGCAGCGAATTGTTACCAGATAACGCCGTGACTTGAAAGATTCTGGGAGAGATGGTTTTCCAGAAACGTCAGTCGTAATCAACAGTCGCGTTGACACTTACTTCTCAATAATCACCCTTTGCTTACAACATGATTCTGTTTTGGCTTTTACATGGATATTGTGAGCTATGCAATAAATTATTACCGTTCACGTTACTTTTCAGACTACTTGCAGCACTTCCGATGTTCATCCTCGCATTACTCAAAATACTTAAAATTCGCCGTGATGTTGATCACTTTCTGATAGGATTCAGTGTAAGTTTTTTGAGTCAATCTTATCTGAGTCACCTGGATGAGGATTTCATGACTAAAGCTGAAGTGACTTGCATATGCTCCAAACGAACATATACTTACCATCCATTTATGCCCCCTTTGTAGTGCGTTTACCACGAATTTTTGTTGAATCAAATTTAACTGAGGAAATCACAAATTAGGACTGTTGTGAGATGATACATTGCATAGGAAACACATGCGCTGATGCATGTTTCTAGCTGCAACATACATAACAGCGACCTCAATAGAAATAATAATCGCTCTATGAAGTTTGATAAGACTTATTTTTGTATGTTGACAGACAGAGCTGATCATGCAGCCACAGGCATTTAACCCACAGACGGATCAGTAAACTGAAATGTGCACAAATCATTACGAACCTTTTTTCAGTGTTCTGATAACAATTCTTACGAAGTCAGCCGCCCGAGTATATATGGAACATAAGACGCTCTAGATGTTTACAGGTTTCTTTTCATCAGGTATGCACTGAACCAGACCCTGAATAGATTATGCAATTACCGTTTGTGTTGATGACACTCACACCGTCGATATTCCTAGTTCACTTATGCCAGCTAATTAAAAAAACTTCTTTCTCTTTAGTAACCATAATATTTTAGTCTACCTAAATGTTTTACTGCTCTAGTGTAGCCGATCAATAGCTCCCATAGTAGTCACGATATTAAGCAGCTGGGAATTACCAAAATACGTTAAATGTCAGAAAAACTTTTTCTTGTAAACAAGGGGGGAGGGAAGTTCCTGAAGTGATAAAGTTGTAATAAACCAGTCGGAGAAATCTACAAATCTGAGTTGCATTGATATATACTTCATTGCAATATAATTCTCAAATGCTTTCCTAGTTCCTACTATGTTCCATGGGATTCGCCACTATGTACCGGGGTTTCAATATCTTCAATGCTTCAATATCTTTTGGTGTGACGATAGCACTAACTACATTTGTGATCGTTTTGGCTTTATACCTGCGAAATTCATCCACTGCTTTGACCATCACACTATTCGCATTCATGTGCGTTTTGGTGATCACTGGAGTCATTGTGTACGTTGTTCAGATCATACAACATGTACCCCAGGTAAGATTTAAATAACTGGGTTCTACGATAGCCTCACAATGTATCATTCCCGTTAACACTTCCTAACTGGTGATTGTTGATTCGCATAATGCTACGCATGGAAAACAAAGAGACGGATTCCATGTATTCAGAGGTTATATCTGCATAACTTCAAACCATTTCATAAGATTAGTTAAGATGAATCGTGGGACAATCATCGTAAACTGAAGTACCGTTTTATTCCTGCAGACGTCATCTTACTTCCTTTCAGTCGTCTTTTAAGATCCTTGAGAGTCGTCAAAATACGTTCAATGAAAATTTTCACCTATCTATCCACCTATCTAATACAGTATTGTACCATATGTCTGATAACAGGTTATGGGGTTTATTCCATTGATTATAAACGGACTAGATGCATCTGCAGTCATGCACTATCAACAGTGTTAATTACTTTTTATGAGATTAGAGTGAAACAGATAAATGTAAAGTGATATCCTCCAGGAATAATCGTTATTATAGTGTAAGCGCAGTGCATTCTTTTTAAACTCTAGTGGTGCAGTGAAAGTTCGATGACAATGAGTTAAAAGCATTTCAGCATGCAGATATTAAATCCTGATTTTTGTTTAAAGTTTAACAAGTCGGTTTCTGATGTTGAATTTTTTTTGCATAATTTTAGCGGATTTACACAAATACTATTGCAGTTTCCTTCGGCATCGCTGTGGCTTTAGTAAGTTCAAATTCAATTTTTTTTCCTTCACGTTCCGCAAGGGAACGTAGTGTAACAACAGAAGACAAGGGTCAGGCAACAGATCCTTTATTAAAGGAAAATCAACACATATTTATAGATTTTAATGTGCATTATTGTAGATTATTGTTAGTAGAAAATGCAGTCTTTTGATTGGTTGTTTCTCACAGAAAATTAACCTTGCATCTCTTTGTGGCTGTGTCGGAGCATCCATATGCTAACTGTATCCGCCTACCTAAAGCCTTTGTTCTCATTTCCCAACATCAATATTGGGGATATAAACATTGACGTCAATTACTGTCTACCAACTTCGGCTAGCAGCTAGCTCTCACCACAAGAGGGCTTCAATCTAGTGGCTTGAAGTTTCTGTAGCAGTGTTTGTTTTACAGGATGAGGTTGCTAGCCTCATGCCCAACCGTTTCTCTTCACCAGCATTATTTCTGGCTTGGCGAAGTAAAAGAGTGCTTTGGCCGGGGATCGAACTCCGGACCATGTGCATGGTCAGCGGGCGTCCTAACCGCTATCGTACCGACGCACATGTTTAAATTCAGTACCATGACAAAATTATTTGAGTTCAGTGTCACCTTAGAATCTGTGTAATCTAGAATGAGCCAATTTGTTTTAATGATGCTCTAATGTTTCTTTACCGATATCCAGTGTAAAATGCAGCGTTTGTTAATTCATCTCCTACTGTTAAGTGCGTTTTTTTAATCCATAGCAGCAAATATTGTAATCGGAGTGGAACTCCTCAGCTTTAAATCTTGCAAATTTCCACGCACACGCATAGTTCAGTGATGCTGTGTGATGTGGATTATAAATTATTTATCAAGACTACAGACCTCTCAGAAACATGCATTCAGTTCACTAGGAAGAAATGTAATTATTCAACTGCGACAGCATTGTGAACCTCTTCCATGAGACAATTGTAGCAAATAGGCTTATTGTACGTTTCAAAGTTCAGTTTAGTTATATCGAAGGCACTATTCATCGTTTGACATCCACAAGTTCGTGAACGAAATGATACACTGATTAAAATACTTTGAATAGGCAATAATGTCTCAAATGGTAGATATAATTCATTCAGCGTTGCTTATTTTCCTACATTCTAGGCGATGTTCTTGACAATGAACAGACTGCGGTTTTGCATCTCATACAAGAGCACTTATTGCACAATCATATTTCGAGCGTTCTGTTTATGGCTGGAAATTCTTGGACTGTTCACAGCAATATACGCTATCTTTGAAAATAAAAATCCACCATGTCCACAAAACTTTTTGACATTGATGAGTGCATAAATATCTTTTAACTTGAATATTATATTTTTCCAAAAAATATATAATTAAAACATGGATTCTGAACATGCTTTTTATCAACTACAGATTAAAAAATGTTATAACTCAATATCAATTAGTTTCCAAGTAGGTATTGAACTCAAAAGGCACTTCTGCAATATCATGTTCACTAAATGACTATTCACAATTACAAAATTTCATTGTTTAACTTTGTCTGAGGCAATTAACATAAAACACGAGATAAAAGGGATTTGGATACAATTATTAGGGGACAGATTTGATCTAAAATACTTTCATGAAGGGACCACAAACCATTCTTCTGAAATCCAGGTAGAGAATTCTTCGAATTCTCAACGTTTAACTGAACACTTTTGAACACCTCGGTTGTTATGCAACAGAGTAATCAATTCTCTCTGAAGGAACTACTCTGGGAATTCAGAATTGTTGGCAGGAGCTTCCTGATTTCGGTTGTCATGAGTTTGTTAATTCCGGTAAATCTATATCATGAAGCGTCTTTTATATCTATTTCTGTGTGAGCAGTTCACTCAAAGTGTCTGGACTTTCAATCTCAGGACGGAGAAACAGCACTTTTGTGGATCTGGTTACTCATGTTCTTCTCGAATACTGCCAAAATTTTACTGCGTTTGCTTGCTTTACTAAAACATCATAAAATGGAATTTCATTCTCTTCCTCATAGAATACGATGTGGTTGACTGGATCATATGTCATTTCTGAATCATCCTGTCCAATGACAAAGAAAGTATTTACGTCACACGTAGCCACATTGTTATGATTGGTTACGTGGCATCGTTCGTATTTAGTTTATACCTCCTATCAAGTTTTCAGCAGTAACACTTTTATTTATCAGTCTCCAAATAAAAGTTTTTTTCTTGAATATTTGATTGAGTAATGAACATTTTCCGTCCCACTGTCTGTATATTCATTCAGTCTTGGTAACTGCAATGTTGGCAATAAAGAAACGAAAAAAAGTAGTGTAATAGGAATCACATTTTACCGAGTTGATGACTTATGCATCCACTTTCTCGAGGATTTCCATTGCTTTTTGTGGCCGCTTATATGTTTTGAATTACTGGTGCATACTCATTTATACAATTCCATTTCTAGAGTGGATTTATTGCTTGCAATCATTCGCCAAAATATTTGTAGCAACTGGATTTCTTTCGGTTTCCTGTCAAACACTTTCTTGTCTATCCTTTTCATGAATCATGAAATGTCTCGGTCAGTCGTCAACTTATTTCCCTTCGTGAAATCATTCCTGATCTTCCCGAAGAGGAAAAGATATCCCTCCTGCATTATGAGAACACCTAACATCAAACTAATAGTTGTAATCCTGTTCACATTACGCACATTTATGTAAGTTAATTTTAAACATTTGAACTAGAAGTATAATGTAATCCAGACAATTGAGGAGTGGACGTCTGCAGTATGCGTTCGCTAAATTCAATGTAAAACTTGAAACTTCTTCAACTTACTTTGAAAGCGCTTGTGAGTATTGAAATACTAAAATTGACAATAATATATAACTGGAATGCTCATAGCTCAACATATTCATTGGCAATGCTCTTAAGCTGTTGCATTTCACTTGCTTATCTAACTTCACTGTATCTCTTCAGAACATGAAAGAGTAGCCTATATGCTACTTGTCGAAGACTTTTTGGAAATCATAACAGTATTCTTGTTCATTACTTAGTGACCTCAAGAGACGAGTAGGAACACCACAAATCCCATCAAATGCATGTAGTTATATCAAGCATCACAAACACGAATTAGCCATTTTTCCTACACATCTACCATGTTATCGTCGAGGAAATTATATGAACCCATGATAATTGTTGAGGGAAATAAATAAGGAGATAATGTAACCAGAGACAACAAATCAAAATTGCTTAACATGAGAATTCCTTATTGTTGAATGGAATGATGTATTGAGGTGAATAAAAGATAAAACACTGTGATGTACATTGTCGAAAAGGAGAGATAAGCAAAAGACACATATATGGATGGGACAAAACCTTGAATTGAAGTCCGAGAATGTTTGCATCGATGCATAAACGGGTTCTGCGTGAATACAAAATTACAGTCTAATTGAACCTATCCTAACAGCACCAGATATCTGTAGAATACGTGGGAAAACTGTGCATGATAATGACTTCGATGTGTGATAGTTCATGTTTCCAACTCTTATAGCCTAAATCCGCCTTCATAAAAGACCGGTGATGTGGCGATATTTCTCTGCACAATCATCTGGGCTGATTCACCCTACTCTATATCCTAGGCAACTCGTCAAATTACATTAGAAGACTTTGTTAAAAGGCAAGTTTCTACAGAAGAACAACTATTCTTTCTTCATGAATGTTTCCGCCAGCAGATTCCACCAACTAGTGTCAAATATAAACCACCAATTAACTGCATTTTAGGCTGGAAATTAGCCAAACAACATGGAAAACAAATGATGAAATTATTGATCACGGATGCACACAATACGATTAAAAAATACTAGCATATGATTAGATTCCATAAAGAAAAGGTTGAACAGACTCTTACGCCAGAACATCTGCCAACATTGAATACTGCCATTAAAATATTATGCGAACGACACAAAGAACGAAGACGAGTCGCCCTCAAAGGAAAACTAGCTAAGATATCCAAACAACCATCTGAAGAAACTCTAAATGATTGCGTAGTAAATCTATCAAAACAGCCAAATAACAAACACGTCAATAAAGATGAAATATGCCGATTAATAAAAAGTAAATCAGGTGACCAAAACGTTTAAAATCCAAGTCAATAGAAAATGGCCAGTACATATGTAAAGAGAGTAACCAGGAGACGCAATTACATCACGCATGAAGAAATTTAAATCATTTCACTTTGTGCTAAATATGGCGCTGAAGATGTTGTCCAGAAGGACGACGAAAGCTTCGCAACTAAACCAATCACCTCAGAGAACAATTTTCATTGCAAATTACATTAGAGAAATTGAAATCATTGAAGGTAAGCTCTCAGCGGAATTGTATATTTTCCTTCTTCATTCCTCATTGAAAAAGCATTACTGATTTTGTTTGTATTTTGTTTCATGTTCACGAACAGCAAAACCTCGCCTAGATTACTAGGTCACTAGTATTCTAGCAGGTCCCAAGCCCGGATAAAGAGGGAGGGTTGGGGCACGGTGCTAGCAACTTCACCCCCAAAACTTAACCAAATTGCTACAAATACTTCAACGCACAAATATATTCAAAATTCTAAAAATACAAACAATAACCTAATATTTCGCTGGAATCGGGAAAGTGAAATGACGCAGGTTGGTGAAAGCCTTCGGGAAGCCAGTCAGCCGATGTGCCTTCTTTCGATGAAAGCAAAAATAAGGATGGGGACGTGGAACATTCGTACAATGTACGAAACTGGAAAGGCTGCTCAGGTAGCCGCAGAAATGAGGAGATATAAAATAGAAGTATTGGGAATCTGCGAGAGCAGATGGAACGGATGTGGAAGGAGCCAACTTTCAACTGGAGAGACAATAATCTACTCCGGTCACCCAGAGGACGACCACGAGCACACCGATACAGAACTCCGACCAGAACAAGCTGTATTCAGGAAAGGCAAATCTTGTTCTGACCAAATTGCAACTCTACGCATCATCATCGAACAAAGCATGGAATGGCAATCAAATCTCTACCTCAACTTTATAGACTTTGAGAAGGCCTTCGACAGCGGTGACCGCGAAGTAATTTGGAAACTACTCGAGTACTACGGCGTACCCCAAATATTCATCAACTTTATTCCACAGCTGTACGACAACGGCACATGTCAAGTGATCCACAACGGAAAACTCAGCGAAGCGTTTGGAGTAAACACAGGAGTCAGACAAGTGTGCTTATTATCACCAATGATATTCCTAATTGTGGTGGACTGGATTATGCGTCAGACAGTGGGAAACGAGAAGACAGGGATATCCTGGACCGACATGAAGAACCTAGAAGACCTGGATTTTGCGGATGATTTATGTTTGATGTCACACAAAATCGAAGATTTACAAGCGAAAACCGACAAACTGGTCGAAGAAGCAGCAAAGACAGGACTCTAGGTAAACACAGACACGACGGAGGTCATGAAAATAAACAACCAACAACAGCAGCAACATCCAACGCCAATCACCATCAACAGGAGGGATTTGAAAGAGGTTACTTCTTTCACTTACCTAGGGAACATTGTGTCAACCACAGGAGGAACGGACGAGGATGTCAAGTCGAGAATCGGGAAGGCGAGAAACACATTCACCAGCCTGGAACCAATCTGGAAATCTTCGTTACTCAGCATCAACAACAAAATTCGGATTATCAATTCAAACGTCAAGTCAGTCAGTTCTTCTATACGGATCAGAAACTTGGCGTGTCACAGAGAAAATTGCTAACAGGTTGCAGAACTTCATCAACAACTGTCTTTGTTCTATGCTGAAGATTAGATGGCCGGAAAGAATCGCAAACAAGAAGCTATGGGAACAAACAAAACACGAACCAATCGCTCAACAAATATGCACGATTGGAAACATTTATTTCCCGATACGAATTTAAAACAAGCAATAAAGGTTAATAAAGCAGGATTTAATGAATTCATCAAATTTCGGTAGAACTCGTCAGCTGAATACTCTACATACACGGATATATACTTTTGAAGTTACATTGGGAGATATAGGACTGATAAGTAAATAAACTACATTGAATTAGTCATGCAGAAAGACAGGTGCGAATGTTTTTCCAGGTCATGTGTAATTAGATAAGCGGAGAGAGAGTATGGGAGATCAAAATTAAGATAAATTGCATTACGCTTCAATTACATCACTTAGATAAACAATTAGACATTAGAGAATTTAACAAGAATTGCAACCAGAGGGATGTCAATAGTAATAGTTATAATAACAATAATATAATATGACAATAATAATAGTGTTGAAGTGGGTTAAGATAATGCTAATGATAAAGGATAGTTTAAAATGAATCAAGAATAATAATAATGAGAATAATAATAGTAATGATAAAAT